CCCCCCCCGCACCCCATCAGTAGCCCAAGGCTCCCCTTCATTAGCCCGGCCAGCCCTGCGCTAGCCCAGGGCTGCCGTTCGCTCGCCCAGCCCCCTCGGATTAGCCCCCTCCCCATAATTAGCCTGGGGGGGCGTCATTAGCCCAGCCCCGTAGGATTAACGCCCCCCCCCATAATTAACCTGGGGGGGCGTCATTAGCCCAGCCCCCTCTGTCACTAGCCAAGGGGTCCTCCTCAATTGCCCAGTGCCCACCACTAGCCCAATGCCCCGGTCACTAGCCCAGTGCCCCGGTCACTAGCCCAGCCCATCTCTAACCCAGCCCCCCCATCATCAGCCCACCCCCTTCACTAGCCCACCTCCCCCGTCACTAGCCCAGGAATCCCCCTCCATTGCCCAGCCCACTCCTCGCCAGCCCAGGGGTCCCCAGCACCAGCCCAGGGGTCCCCAGCACCAGCCCAGGGGTCCCCAGCACCAGCCCAGGCCCGTCCCCATGACCCAACGTCCCCACTAGCCCAGGGGTCCCCATTGCTGGCCCGGGGGTCCCCCTCCATGGCCCCGCCCCCCCCGGTAGCCCCGGCCCCACGGTCACTCGCCCCCCCTCCCCCCCCGGGCGGACAAAGGCTCTTTGTGCCTCGGGAGCGGCCGGAGCGGCCTGGCGTGGGGCAGCCACGGACACGCGGACCCACGGACACGCGGACCCACGGACACTCGGACACGCTGACCAGTCCCCCACGGCCCCGGGACCCCCTCAGTGGCACCCACGGGGTGGGTGGGGGTCGGGGGTCTGTGCCCACGCGTGACCCCGCACGGGGATGCTCCGCTTGGGGTCACACCCCCGGGACCCCCGTGCGTGGCCGCCGTGACCCCGGGGCCGGTGTCCGGTGACCTCGGCGGGACCCCGCCGCTAACGGTGTCACCCCAGGGTGCGCGGGACCCCGCCCGGTGCCCCCACCGGGACCCCCGGCGCCGGTGCCGGTTCCCCGGGGGACCCTGCCCGAACCCCCCGGTGCCCCTCCGGTGTCCCCACTGCCGGTCCCGGTGCCCGCAGGACCCTGCCCGAACCCCCCGGTTCCCCCACCGGGACACCCATTGCCCGGTGGACCCCGCCAGAACCCCGGGTGCCGATGCCCGTGCCCGCACATCCCCTGGCGTGCCCCCACCGGGACCCCCGGTGCCGATGCCCGTGCCCGCACATCCCTCCTGCGTGCCCCCCGGTGCCCCCACCGGGACCCCCGGCGCCGGTTCCGGTTCCCCGGGAGACCCATCCCAACCCCCCGGTGCCCCCCCCCGGTGTCCCCAACTGCGGAGCCGGTGCCCCGGCCCCCCCCCCGTGCCCGGTAACGTGACCCGGCTCCTTTTCCACCCCATTAACCCCCGGCCCGCCCCCGGCGGCTCCTCCCCGCCCCGGTCCCCCCCCGGTTCCGCGGCGGGGGGGGGGTGCCCGTCCCGTTGCCGCGGCCCCGCCGAGCCATAAAACCCATGGGGAGCCGGCCGGGCTGAGCACGGCGGGACCGCGACCCCCCCGGCAAGGTAAGGGCGGCCGGGGGGGCACTGGGGGGCACCCATCCCCTCCCGGGGGTCACCGGGGGGCACCCATCCCCTCCCGGGGGGCACCGGGGGTCCCCCATCCCCTCCCGGGGGGCACCGGCGGTCTCCCGTCCCCTCCCAGGGGGCACCAGGGGGCACCCATCCCCTCCCGGGGGGCACCGGGAGTCCCCCATCCCCTCCCGGGGGGGCACGGGGATCTTCCGTCCCCTCCCGGGGGGCACCGGGGGTCCCCCATCCCCTCCCGGGGGGCACCGGGGGTCTCCTGTCCCCCCAGGGGATCTCCCGTCCCCTCCCGGGGGGTCCCGAGGGCTGTGCCGGTGGCGCTGGGATGGCAGCGGCGCTGCAGAGGGGAGCCCCATGACCCCTTGTCCCCCCCCCATGGTAGCACCGCGCCCCAGTTGTCCCCAGAGCCCGGCGTCACCATCGCCCCACCAGGCCGCAACTGCCCATGTCCCAGGGGTGGGTTATCCCGGCTGTGATCCCAGGTGTGGGTTATCCCGGGTGTGATCCCAGGGGTGGGCTATCCCGGGTGTGATCCCAGGGGTGGGTTATTCCAGGGGTGATCCCAGGTGTGGGTTATTCCGGGTGTGATCCCAGGTGTGGGTTATCCCGGGTGTGATCCCAGGTGTGGGTTATCCCGGGTGTGATCCCAGGGGTGGGTTATCCCGGGTGTGATCCCAGGGGTGGGTTATTCCAGGGGTGATCCCAGGGGTGGGTTATCCCGGCTGTGATCCCAGGGGTGTGTTATTCCAGGTGTGATCCCAGGTGTGGGTTATTCCAGGGGTGATCCCAGGTGTGGGTTATTCCAGGGGTGATCCCAGGTGTGGGTTATTCCGAGTGTGATCCCAGGGGTGTGTTATTCCGGGTGTGATCCCAGGTGTAGATTTATCCTGGCTGTGGTTTATCCCAGGTGTGTGTTATCCCGGGTGTGGTTTATCCCGGGTGTGCATTATCCTGGATGTGGATTTATCCCAGGTGTGCGTTATCCCAGGTGTGGTTTATCCNTTATCCCGGGTGTGCATTATCCTGGATGTGGATTTATCCCAGGTGTGCGTTATCCCAGGTGTGGTTTATCCAGGGTGTGTGTTATCCCGGGTGTGCATTATCCTGGATGTGGATTTATCCCGGGTGTGCGTTATCCCAGGTGTGGTTTATCCCGGCTGTGCGTTATCCCGGGTGTCGTTTATCCCGGCTGTGCGTTATCCCAGGTGTGGTTTATCCGGGCTGTGGTTTATCCCGGGTGTGGTTTATCCCAGGTGTGCGTTATCCCGGCTGTGCGTTATCCCAGGTGTGGTTTATCCCGGCTGTGGTTTATCCCAGGTGTGGTTTATCCCGGCTGTGCGTTATCCCGGCTGTGGTTTATCCCAGATATGCATTATCCCAGGTGTGTGTTATACAAGGTGTGGTTTATCCCGGGTGTGGTTTATCCCGGGTGTGGTTTATCCCGGCTGTGGTTTATCCCGGCTGTGCGTTATCCCAGGTGTGGTTTATCCCGGCTGTGCGTTATCCCGGCTGTGGTTTATCCCAGGCGTGGTTTATCCCGGGTGTGGTTTATCCCGGCTGTGCGTTATCCCGGGTGTCGTTTATCCCGGCTGTGCGTTATCCCGGCTGTGCGTTATCCCGGCTGTGGTTTATCCCAGGTGTGGTTTATCCCGGGTGTGGTTTATCCCGGCATCCCTTTTCCCGGATGTGACCTAAGCCTTTTAGGGTCTCTAATGTCCCTTTGGGGTCCCCCCAGTGCTGGGGGGGGCCTGGGACCCCCGGGACCCCCGTGGTCACCCTGGGGGGAGGGGGGACATCCCCAGGACCCCCGGGGGGGCCATGGGGGGACAGGGGTGCCCCAGGACACACAGCGGGGCCGGGACCCCCAAGGTGGCACTGACGGTGACAGGGGACCCTGGGACAGTGACGGTGACAGGGGACCCTGGGACAGTGACCGGGGACCCCTGGGACCCCCATGGTGGCCCTGATGGTGACAGGGGACCCTGGGACAGTGACAGAGGACCCTGGGACAGTGATAGTGACCCGGGACCCTGGGACAGTGACAGTGACAGGGGACCCTGGGACAGTGACCGGACACCCTGGGACAGTGACTGGGGACCCTGGGACCCCCATGGTGGCACTGACAGTGACAGGGGACCCTGGGACAGTGACAGGGGACCCTGGGACCCCCATGGTGGCACTGACAGTGACAGGGGACCCTGGGACAGTGACAGTGACAGGGACCTCTGACCCACATTGGGGTGGGTGATGTGGGCTCCGTGTGGTGACAGTGACAGTGACAGCACCACGGGGGTCTCCCTGTCCCCTCAGTGACAGTGACAGCACCAGGGGTCCCGTGTCCCCTCAATGACAGTAACAGTACTATGGGGGTCCCGTGTCCCTTCGATGACAGTGACAGCACCAGGGGTCTCCTGTCCCCTCGGTGACAGTGACAGCACCAGGGGTCCCGTGTCCCTTCAATGACAGTGACAGCAACATTGGGGTTCCGTGTCCCCTCAATGGCAGTGACAGCACCAGGGGTCCCGTGTCCCCTCGGTGACAGTGACAGCACCAGGGGTCCGTGTCCCCTTCAATGACAGTGACAGCACCAGGGGGTCCCGTGTCCCCTCGGTGACAATGACAGCACCAGGGGTCTCCTGTCCCTCAGTGACAGTGACAGCACCAGGGGTCTCCTGTCCCCTCGGTGACAGTGACAGCACCAGGGGTCCCCTGTCCCCTCGGTGACAGTGACAGCGCCAGGGGTCCGTGTCCCCTCGGCGGCCCCGCGCTGTCGCGGGCCCCCCGGGACCCCCGCGCTGGCGGCGGCGGCCGCGCGGGGCTCTGCATGTTAACGAGGGCTCCGTGAAAGCGCCTTTGTCCCCCGGCAGCCCCATTGAATCCTCGGCTCCGGCCGCACAATGGCCCCACTGTCCCCGTCCCTGTCCCCCCCCGCCACCGCCACCCCCCGCTCCGCCCCCCTCCTCAATCGGGGGGACCCCTCCGCGGGGCCAGAGGGGCGCCCCCCCTCATCCCCCACCCCCCAAAATCCCAGTGACCCCAGTGCGGAGCAGCCCCGCGCCCCAGTTTGGGGGCGGTGGGGCTGGCGGGGCGCCCGCTCACGCCTGGCACCGCCGCGCCGTGGGAACGGTGCCCGCGCCGCCGGTGCCAGCGGGACGCGGGGAACGGGGACGTGTCCCTGGGGGTCCCCCCCCCCCAAATCCTCCCGCACATCCCCCACCATGTAGAGCCGGGCCTCTGCGGTGACCCCCCAAAGTGACCAGAAGCCCCCGAGGGGAAACTGAGGCACGGGGAGGGGTGTGTGGGGGGTTAATGGGTAACCGGTTGTGCCGCGGGCACCGGGAACAAGCGGCGGCTTGTCCCGAGCCGTGTCCGGCCACCGGAGCACGGCCGGGGGCACGGGGGGCACGCGGGGCCCCCAAAAAGGGGGCGGGGGGTGGGGAGAGCAAAAAAGGGGGTGGGGGAAGAAACGAGGGGGGTGGGGAGGGCCCAAAAGAGGGGGTCGGGACCCCCCTGAATGGGGGCAGAGACCCCCAAAGCAGGGGGCTGGGGACACGGCGGCTTTGGGGACACGGTGGCTTTGGGGACATGGTGGTCTTGGGGACATGGTGGCTTTGGGGACACTGGTTTTGGGGACACGGTGGCTTTGGGGACACTGGTTTTGGGGACACGGTGGTTTTGGGGACACGGTGGCTTTGGGGACATGGGGGGCATTTAGGGGGGCACAGTGACTTCAGGGACGTGGGAGGCCCTGGGCACCCCAAGAACTTGAGGACATGGGGTGGCTCTGGGGACAGCCGGTGGCTCTGGGGGTCTCTGGGGACCCCCAGCATCTCCAGGACACACCTGGGTGGCTTTGGGGACAGCCGGTGGCTCTGGGGACATGGGGGGCTCTGGGGGAAGGAGCAGCTCCGTGTCCCCTCTTTGGGGACACCGATGTCCCCTCTGTCCCAGCTGCCACCGTCCATTCCAGGACATTTCTCCATGCCGGGACATCACGCAGCCGGGACGGTGGCAGTGCCACTCGTGTCCCCAGGCTGGCACGGGGACATGGTGGGGCTCCAAGGAGACCTCCCGTGGTGCCACCACCCCCCGGTGTCCCCGGTGTCCCCAGCACGCTGCCCTTCCGCGGCGGAAACGGTGGCGGGGCCAGAGGCTGGCGGGGGCTGAAAGGGCCTTTTTTGGGATGGGGACACGGGACACGGGACACGGGGACACGGGGACACCGGGGGGGCGCCTGGCGCTGCCCCCGGCCGTTTGTCCCTGTCACCTCCCATTCATCCCCTTCCTCTTCCTCCCGGATGCCCGGGACACTTCCACGGCCACCGGAGCTGCCAGGGACACGGGGGGACACGGGGGGGACACGGGGGGACACGGGGGGACACAGAGGGATTTGGGATCAGGGTGGCACGTGGAGGGATGGAGGGACATGGGGATGGACAGAGCGGGTCCCTTGGCACCTTGGGGGTTCCCCGGGGACACTGGGGACATTGAGGGGACATTGTGGGGTCCCTGGGGACAGAGGGACATGGGGATGGACAGTGGGACAAAGGATGGACAGAGGGATGGACAGAGGATGGACAGGGGATGGACAGAGGGACATGGGGATGGACAGAGGGACATGGGGATGCCCAGTCACAGGGATGACCCCCCTGGTTCCCCCATCGATGTCATCCTCCACCTGTCCCTCACCTGTCCCTGTGTCCCCCTTGATGACCTCCCAGTCCCTCAGGTGTCCCCGTGTCACCACAGATGATGTTCTCCACCTGTCACTCTCCTGTCCCCGTGTCCTCCTTGATGACACCCCTCCCCTGTCCCTCACGTGTCCCCACAGATGATGTTCTCCACCTGTCCCTCAGGTGTCCCCCATCATCTTTGATCACCACCCCACCTGTCCTTTCCCTGCCCCTCACATGTCCCCGTATCCCTGCAGATGACCTCCTCCATGTGTCCCTCACCTGTCCACCTGTCCCTCCCCTGTCCCTCACATGTCCCCATGTTCCTGCTGATGACCTCCCCCACCTGTCCACCTGTCCCTCACGTGTCCCCGTGTCCCCGCAGATGACGTCCTCCACCAAGGTGTACTACAGCCAGACCACGCAGACCGACAGCCGCCCGCTGATGGGGCCGGGGCTGCGGCGGCGCCGCGTGCTGACCAAGGACGGCCGCAGCAACGTGCGCATGGAGCACATCTCCGACAAGCGCTTCCTGTACCTCAAGGACCTGTGGACCACCTTCATCGACCTCCAGTGGCGCTACAAGCTCCTGCTCTTCTCCGCCACCTTTGCCGGCACCTGGTTCGCCTTCGGCGTGGTGTGGTACCTGGTGGCCGCGGCGCACGGCGACCTGCTGGAGTTCGAGCCGCCCGCCAACCACACGCCGTGCGTGATGCAGGTGCACACGCTGACGGGCGCCTTCCTCTTCTCCCTGGAGTCGCAGACCACCATCGGCTACGGCTTCCGCTACATCAGCGAGGAGTGCCCGCTGGCCATCGTGCTGCTCATCACCCAGCTGGTGCTGACCACCATCCTGGAGATCTTCATCACCGGCACCTTCCTGGCCAAGATCGCGCGGCCCAAGAAGCGCGCCGAGACCATCAAGTTCAGCCAGAACGCCGTGGTGGCGCAGCACGACGGCAAGACCTGCCTGATGATCCGCGTGGCCAACATGAGGAAGAGCCTCCTGATCGGCTGCCAGGTCACCGGGAAGCTGCTGCAGACCCACCTCACCAAGGAGGGCGAGAGCGTCCGGCTCAACCAGCTCAACGTGGACTTCCAGGTGGACACGTCCTCGGACAGCCCCTTCCTCATCCTGCCGCTGACCTTCTACCACGTGGTGGACGAGGCCAGCCCGCTGCGGGACGTGTCCCTGCGCTCGGGGGACGGCGACTTCGAGCTGGTGGTCATCCTGAGCGGCACCGTGGAGTCCACCAGCGCCACGTGCCAGGTGCGCACGTCCTACCTGCCCGAGGAGATCCTGTGGGGCTACGAGTTCACGCCGGCCATCTCGCTGTCGGCCAGCGGCAAGTACGTGGCCGACTTCAGCCTCTTCGATCGCGTGGTGAAGGTGGCGGCGCCCTGCTGTCACCACGAGGCCGTCCGCTTCGGGGACCCCGAGAAGGTCAAGCTGGAGGAGTCGCTGCGGGAGGCGGAGCGGGACGGGGACGGGGCCCCGCTCAGCGTCCGCATCAGCAACGTCTGAGGGGGGACCCGCAGGTGACGTCGTCACCGGGGTGACGTTGGCACCGGGGTGACGTTGGCATTGGGGTGACATCGGCACCAGGGTGACGTTGGCATCAGGGTGATGCTGGCATCGGGGTGACGTCGGCACCGGGGTGACATTGGCATTGGGGTGACATCGTCATCAGGGTGACATCGTCATCAGGGTGATGTCAGCATCAGGGTGACACTGGCATCGGGGTGACGTTGGCACCAGGGTGACATTGGCATTGGGGTGACATCGTCATCAGGGTGACGTCGGCATCAGGGTGACGCTGGCATCGGGGTGACGTTGGCACCGGGGTGACATCAGCATCAGGGTGATGTCAGCACTGAGGTGACATCATCATCAGGGTGATGTCATCATCAGGGTGACATCAGCACTGGGGTGACATCATCATCGGGGTGACACCAACACTGAGGTGACATTGGCATCGGGGTGACATCATCACCAGGGTGATGTCGTCATCAGGGTGACATCGTCATCAGAGTGATGTTGGCACTGGGGTGACACCAGCACTGGGGTGACATCGTCATTGGGGTGACACCAACACCGGGGTGATGTCGTCATCAGGGTGACATCATCATCAGGGTGACACTGGCACCAGGGTGACACCAGCACTGGGGTGACATTGTCATTGGAGTGACACCAGCATGGGGGTGACATCATCATCAGGGTGACATCATCATCAGGGTGATGTCGGCACTGGGGTGACATCACCACCGGGGTGACACCGGGGCAAGAGGTGGCACCGGCCCCAAGGTGGCACCGGAGCAAGGGGGTGGTGGCGGATGGTGGAGGTGTGGCCATGTCTGGAGGTACCGCCAGGTTCAAGGGGACACCAACACCTGGAGGTGCCACCAGCCCCAAAGGGACCCCAACATCTGGAGGTGCCACCAGCCCCAAAGGGACCCCAACATCTGGAGGTGCCACCAGCCCCAATGGTACACCAACATCTGGAGGTGCCACCAGCCCCAAAGGGACACCAACAACTCGGGTGCCACCAGTGCTGGAGGTGTCATCAAGTCTGGAGGTGTCACCAAATTTGGAAGTGTCACCAGCCCCAAGGGGACACAAATGTCTGGAGGTGCCACCAGTCCCAAAGTGTCACCAATGCCTGAAGGTGTCACCAAGTCTGGAGGTGCCACCAGTCCCAAAGTGGCACCAGTGCCTGGAGGCATCACCAACGCTTGAAGGTGACACCAAAGCTTGGAGGTGCCACCAGCCCAGAGGTGACACCAGCCCCAAAGTGCCACCAGTGCCTGGAAGTGTCACCAACATCTGGAAGCGCCACCAGCCCCTAAAAGTGTCACCAATGCCCAGAAGAGCCACCAGCCAAGATTCCACCGATGGCCGGAGGTGCCACCAATGCCTGGAATTGTCACTAAATGCTGGAGGTGCCACCAAGCCCTGGAGGTGCCACCAGCATCAAAGTGCCACCAGCTGCTGGAGATGTCACCAAGCCCTGAAGGTGCCACCAGCCCTAAGATGGCACCAGTCCCTGGTGCCCCAAAGTGCCACCAACCCCTGGAGATGACACCAGCCCTGAAGTGTCATCAAGTCCTGGAGATGCCACCAGCCCTGGAGGTGCCACCAGCCCAGAAGTGCCACCAGGCCCTGGAGGTGCCACCACCCCTGAAGTGTCACCAAGTCCTGGAGGTGCCACCAGCCCTGAAGTGCCACCAGACCCTGGAGTTGCCACCAGCCATGGAGGTGCCACCAGCCCTGAAGTGTCACCAAGTCCTGGAGATGTCACCAGCCATGGAGGTGCCACCAGGCCCTGGAGGTGCCACCAGGCCCTGGAAGTGCCACCAGGCCCTGGAGGTGCCACCACCCCTGGTGCCACCAGGCCCTGGAGGTGCCACCACCCCTGGTGTCACCAAGCCCTGGAGGTGCCACCAGCCCCCAGGGCGCCGCTGCTCCCCACCCTGCCAGGGGAAACTGAGGCAGGAGACCCTCCCCACCCCCCCACCAGCGCTGGAGCCCCTCCCCTGTCCCCCCCACTCCGGGCAGTGTCGGGGGGTCCCCCCGGGGTGTCACCGATAATCGGCCACCGTGTCCCCTCCCCTCCCCCCCCGGGCCGGGGTCCCCTCCCCCCCCCGCCCGTCGCTGCTGCTTAACGTAGACCCCGCAATTAACGCGGCCCCCCCGCGCCGGGGCTAATTAGTGCCACTAATTAAAGGTGTCAGTAATGAGGAAGGAGCGGGACCCCCCCCGGGACCCCCCAGAGCCGCCCCTCCCCCCCCGGGGGGCCCGAGCTCGGTTTGGGGGCGGGGGGAGGGGCAGGAGTTCAATAAAGGTGACGTCGATGGTGGGGGGTGTCCCCGAGTGTCCCCAGCGCGTCCCCCGATGTCCCCTCGACCCCAGGGACCCTCCCCGATGTCCCCGGGGGTCCCAAATGTCCCCCCCAGGGTCCCCCCAGACCTCCTCCAATGTCCCCACTGTGACCCCCGATGTCCCCTCACCCCCAAGGACCCCCCCAGTGTCCCCAGTGTCCCACCAGTGTCCCCCCCAGTGTCACCAGGGACCCCTCAATGTCCCCAGAGACCCCCCAGTGTCCCCCCCAATGTCCCTGGTGTCCCCCCATTGTCCTCCACAGTGTCCCCCCAGTGTCACCAGGGACCCCCCAATGTCACCAGGGACCCCTCAATGTCCCCAGAGACCCCCCAGTGTCCCCCCCAATGTCTCTGGTGTCCCCCCATTGTCCTCCACAGTGTCCCCCCAGTGTCACCAGGGACCCCCCAATGTCACCAGGGTCCCACCAGTGCCCCCTCAATGTCCCTTTAATGTCCCCAGGGGTCCCCCCAGTGTCCCCCCAATGTCCCTGGTGTCCCCCCAGTGTCCCTCCAGTGTCCCCCCAGTGTCACCAGGCCAGCTAAAGGACACAGGTTTATTTCCAGTACCCCCCCACCAACACTCCCAGTCCGGGGGGGTCACTGGGACCAGGTGGGGACACGAGTCCAGGGTGGGGACACGAGTCCAGGGTGGGGACACGAGTCCAGGGTGTCCCCAGGTGGTGGCACCTGCCCCACCCCCCCCCCCCCGAGACACAGAGGGGACAGGGAGGGACAATGGGGGGGGCAGGGGGGGACAAAGGAGGGACGAGGGGAGGGGACAAGAGGGGACAAAGAGGGGACAAGGGGGGACAAGGGGGGACAATGGGGGGACAATGAGGGGACAATGAGGGGACAATGAGGGGACAATGAGGGGACAATGAGGGGACAAGGGGACCCCCCAAGCTCCAGAGGCAGCGGCGGCGAAGGCACCGGCGAGGCTTTAAAAAAACCGCGGCGAAAATCCCGCGGGAATTCCCCAAAATCCCGCTGGAATTCCCCAAATCCTGCAAGAATTCCCAAAATCCCGCTGGGATTCTCCAAAATCCCACGGAACTCCTAAAATCCCATTGGAATTCCAAAAATCCCATTGGAATTCCCAAAAGCCCGCAGGAATTCCCAAAATCCCACGGAACTCCTAAAATCCTGCGGGATTCCAAAAATTCTTGCTTGGAATTCCGAAAATCCCAACAGGAATTCCCAAAACCCCGCAGGAATTCCCAAAATCCCACAGAATTCCCCCAATCCCACGGAACTGCTGAAATCCCGCGGGAATTCCCAAAATGCTGCAGAATTCCGAGAATCTTGTGGAATTCCCGAAATCCGCCGGAATTCCGGGAATCGGGGGCGGAGGCGACTTCACACCAGGAACGAGGAGGTTTGCTTGAACTCGCCCTGCGGGACACGGGGACAGTGTGGGGACACGGGGACAGGGACGGGGACATGGGGACATGGGGACAAGGACAACCATGGGGACAGGGATGGGGACACGGGGACAGGGACACGGGGACAAGGACACGGGGACAGGGATGGGGACATGGGGACAAGGACAACCATGGGGACACAGGAACAGCCATGGGGACATCACTGGGGACATCAATGGGGACACAGGACCATCAATAGGGACATGGTGACACCAGTGGGGACATGGGAACATCACTGGGGGCATCATTGGGGACAAGGTGACATCCATGGGGGCATCACCAGGGACATCACTGAGGACACAGGACCATCAGTGGGGACATGGTGACACCAATGGGGACCTAGTGACATCCATGGGGACACAGTGACATCCATGGGG